TCAAATCATAAACTCGCTTGAGCATCTTGCCACGGCTTAGCCATCGCATTTCAGTATAATAAAGCACGTCTCCATAATCAGGCTCCAAATCACTAAGTAGCTCTCTGAATTGGCGATGATTCAGCCCCTTAGATCTGATGAAATTAATCAGCTTCACAATGACTGCAACAACGTTTGCCATCCTCAAAGATTTTGCACACAAGTGCTCTTGATGCAACAAACAGTGACATGCAATCAAATCATGACCAGTCAGAGCCTTAGCTTCTTGGGATATGAGAGTTGTCAAGCCGCTGTTCTTGCCAACCATTGATGGAGCTCCATCGGTTGCAATCCCACTCAATATTTCCATTGACAGTCCCAATCGCTCCAGCACTTTCTTCAGCTCTTCATACAAATCTGCACTAGTTGTTGTGCCCATCATTGCCACCATACTTGCCAGCTCCTCTGTTACGTTAAATTCGGCATCAATGCCTCGAACGAACACAACCAGTTGAGCTGCATCAGACACATCAGTGCTCTCATCCAGTGCCAGAGAAAACCACTTAAAAGTTGCAGCCCTGCATTTCAGGGTATCTTCAATGTTCTTTGACATATCATCCACCCTCCTGCCCACAGTAAACCTTGACAGGCTTATTTTTTAAATAATAGCCTTCTTCTCAGGAAATGCAACTTCATACAAATCTGCACTAGTTGTTGTGCCCATCATTGCCACCATACTTGCCAGCTCCTCTGTTATGTTAAATTCGGCATCAATGCCTCGAACGAACACAACCAGTTGAGCTGCATCAGACACATCGGTGCTCTCATCCAGTGCCAGAGAAAACCACTTAAAAGTTGCAGCCCTGCATTTCAGGGTATCTTCAATGTTTTTTGACATATCATCCACCCTCCTGCCCACAGTAAACCTTGACAGGCTTATTTTTCAAATAATAGCCTTCTTCTTAGGAAATGCAACATCAGCCACAGCTAGCAGGCATTCCATCACCATCTCGCCATCACTAAATGCCTACATGCGTTTTGCCAGGATTTTGGAGATCAAGTAGCTAGCATGTACCGAAATGTCTGCCTCAGAAGTAGCTTTCTTGAAAAGATTTTGTTGGCCTGCCAGACATTTTTCAAATTCGTGCACCTTGTCTTTCCGCATCTGGCCCTGGAGAGTGTCGTATCTTGAGGCATGCTTTGCTTCATAATGTCTTTTAATATTATATTCTTTAAGAATAGCCACAGATTCATTGCAAATTAGGCATACTGTCGCTCCTTTAACGCTGGCGAAGAAATACTCTGTGGTCCACCTATCGTTGAAATTGCGGCATTCATCTCCAACTTTGCGCCTTTTTTATGAAACCATGCCTGAGGTTTAGGACCTGCTACTCTTAAAAATGGCACAGAACAAAAAAAGAGGAAACCGAAAGATGAAAACCTTCCTAAGTATGCACACGAAACTATCTATTCACTCTACATATATCTGTATATATCCGTCCCTACCTTAGCTGTGAAGGGAAGAAAATTTTTTTATAGGTCACAAAACACCAAGCAAGCCACTTCCTCAAAGAGCAGTGATACACTGACCGAGAAGGGTGAAGGGATATTTGCAGCTGCGCGAAAATATAGCTTTTATGTTTTATTTCTTGCTTCCGTTTCTCCTGCAGCGGGCAACTGAATCCTTGAGTGCACGTGTACCGGATGGCAGATGATAAGAAAAAAAAGTCAAATTCAGTCGGCAAAGCCCCGCGGGCCGCACATCAGGACCTCGCGGGCCGTGGGTTGCTCATCACTGCATTATAGCGCATCTACATGTGCAAGCATGGTACGAACGAGGTGTATGCCAGTGCCACTCCATATATGTCCACTTTTTCTGCGGCAAACTAATCATAGTACTAATTATGACTGTAATCCAGTCCGGGGTATGGCAAAGAGCCTCAGTTGCAAGCAAGTTTAGGTTTTGAGATCAAGGCATCACTGACCATTTCTACATTGATTTGCCATGGAAAGGGTTAGCATGAAATTACAGCTCACACAACTACATCGGCAAGGGCTGTAACATCACATGCATTAGAAATTCGTGTCTGAATTCATTGGAAACGATGGAGGAAATGTTGAAAAATTGTTCGTCACGTTTCGTGAGTGCTATGGGCCAAAAGACTTTCTTTCTGGATAATGTTGGTAATAGTAAGTGGAAGTATTAGTTGGATCTTCCCTCACCCTGTAAAGCCTACAGTCAGGTTTCCTTACTGTGTCAAACAGTAAAAACCAAGGACGGGAAGATAGTACTAGTACGAAACTTCGTGTAGCTATTGATATTAGAAATGCTCGTAGAGCCTCCGAGCGACCCGCACTACGAGCTAGAAGACAGGCATTTAGAAATAATTTCGAAATGGTAAGAAAGCGTATGACAAAGTTGAAACCTGGAGGCATTTTCCTCCGCCGAATAACTTGAGAGATGACATGGTAGATGAGGAGGAAGACGAAGCAGACGAGGAGGACACTCAAGGCTGAGATCGCCATCGCTGTGCACGTCTAAGGGAGGCACTCTGCGTTTTGCGAATCTTTTGGAGAATAAGAGGCTCGTCATTTTCTTTTTAATACCGCACTTCAAATTTCATGACCTTCGTGACGAATAAAGTCATGTGAAAAGTCATGAACAAGCATGACAAGGATAAAAGGTAATAGCAAAATAATTGCCAACATACCACGTACTTTGTTTCGCTCATGAAAACTGGAAACAAGATAAGAAAAGTCGATGTTTTCCTATTTTTCTCCGTGTGTGTTTAAAAACTACTTTAGAGAGCGCCGCCGTGCCCGAAAATTTGCCCCTGTCGTGGGTGGTTATAATAGGGTAAATAGCCGGTAGGTATCGGGTATGGTTTGTTTAAAATCTGCATTGCCCCGTTTTGCCCCACTTTCCCCTATAGTGTTTGAGCCACTTATGGCCCACTACTTTTATGGTACTTGGAATGTATTAATTCTAGAGTAGTCGTGCTAAGCATCCCATTTGGCACAACAACATAACCACCGATTCAGTGATTCTTACTCTGGTGCCCTGAAATAAACAGTACCATGTATTTTTCATACAGTACCTGATCTTTTCCTTAATACAACTTAAGGGAAGGCATAGGAATTTCTTGATAGACCTGTTTAAGGAGATAACCCGACAGAAGGAGACTGAAAGTGGTCTGGCCAGTGGGTCCGAGGAAACACGCTAAATTTTCCCAAATCTCCACATAGCACGTATATTCACGTTGGTTCTTTCAATAAGGATAGAACATGAAATCATGTCCGTGGGGTTGTTTCCTCTACTGGATTGAAAGAGTTGAGTCATGTAGGTTTTCAAGTAGAATACTGATCCAGTAATGGAAGATATAACCTTTAAGGATCCTCTAAGTGTGAGCCCTGCTTAACCTCTACATCAGTGACATGCCCGCGACCACGTCCCGCAAATTTGCGTATGCCGACGACCTGGCGCTGGCAACGGAAGGTAGCACACTCGAGGAAACGGAAACCACTCAAAATAACGACCTAAAAAAGATGGAAGATTACTTCCGTCAATGGCGTCTTTGTCCCAACCCGCCAAAGACTGCAGTTACAGCATTCCACCTCCAAAACTCCGCCGTTAACAGAACGCAAAAGACACAATTCTGCAGTCAAAGCGTCCAGCACAACCCAAACCCCCTCTATCTGGGAATAACACTGGAAAGGAGCCTGACGTTTCAGCAACACCTGAAGAAACTCAGGAATAAGCTATCCTCGAGGGTCAACCTAATCCAGCGCCTCGCTAGCACTACATGGGAATCTGACGCACGTGCCCTCCGAACCGCAACACTCGCTTTGGTCTACTCGACCGGGGAGTACTGCGCTCCCGTATGGGCCCGCAGCGTTCACACAGACGTAATCGACCCGCAGCTGAACGCTGCTCTTCGAGTGGTAACCGGATGCTTCAAGTCGACTCCGCTCCCATGGCTCCCAGTGCTCGCACACATCCCCCCTGCCGAAATCCGGCGAGACATGGCGACTGTGCGCGAGTACAACAAGATTATTGCCAACCCGTCCCTCCCGATTCACCGCGACATCGATGAGGCCATCCCGTCCCGCTTAAAATCAAGGCGTCCTTACTAGGCTGCCGCAAGAGTCCTGTACGACCTGAGGTCGTGCACGGAAGAGCGCTGGCGAGAAGCCTGGTCTCACGTGGACGTTAAAAATAAGAACCTCATCGACGATCCATCAGTTGAGGTACCAGGTGTCATACTCCCACGCCGCGAATGGGTGACCTTAAATCGCATCCGATGTACATGGACGATCCTTCATGGACGATCCTGACACTTGATACGCATGTGACGTATTAAACAATCGCCAACGTGCGAATGCGGCACTCCAATCAAAACAATGGAGCACATCAACAACGAATGCCCATTGTACTCATTTCCCGGAAGCATCAAGGATATACACATAGTATCAATAAAAACTCTTGACTGGATTTCAAAGATTAACATCAATTTCTAATAGTCGCTATACCCATACGAAAGAAGAAGTGTGAACATGATACGTGTATTAGAGAACTGCTTCATTCATGCCTTTTAGGAGCCTTCCGTGAGATCATCGCGTCTCTATTCAATCATATTGCTTAATCGATATTAGCGCTCTCTCAGACAGAGGATAAGGGAGGAGGTACTGTAATGCCTAGACGTCAACGTTGACCCAACGTTACTCAGCAACAACTCTTCAACGTTGAAATGGGTTTCATTTCAACCTTTTCTCAACATTGAGGCTACATTGTTACGTTGAAAAATCAGCATTTTCTCAATGTTGTTACAACGTTTCTTCGCTCATCGTGTCTACTCTGAATTGATAACCATGTTTTCTTGTAGGGAAACTGACTTGAGAACCCAACTTAAATGAGCTCCATCATGAAAAGTGATCAAATACTGATGAAATTATGAGTCGCCATATTTGGTATGAGGTTACACAACAACGTGGTCACGTATCAGGTTTTTTGCTGTGGGTTTTCAATCCTTCCTCATATAGCACGCTACTTTCTCGAGGAAATTCATGGATTCGTATCGATTGATGAGAATTCCAAAGCATACCAGTGGACTTGGAATTAGTCCTGCCGAGGACTGTTTGCGTCTTTCCACCTCTTTCTACGCAAAACAAAAACAGAGAAAATACGCAAAACAAAAACAGAGAAGTCTCACGCCAACGCCGGAAAACGGTATGAAACAAGACGACCTCTCTTCCGAATCCTCGACCTCGAGAGACCCCCGGAAGGAATCTCTGATAAACCCTTCGGACAGGAGGCCATAACCGGATGAACGATGGAAAGATCTGGAACGATCCCAAGCTGAGGACGTCTTCCGTGAGGAAAGATGAACGCTCCAGGAATCCCTGCAGCTCGCAGCTGTTGTGTTCGAAATGTTTGTCTGATGTCGTGCGGTAGGAAGGGGCTTTTCCTTTTTTTCTATGCAATTCCCTTCTTTTATGCAGTGTTTAAATATTACGCTCGTTCGGACATCTCATCACAGGGAAAATTGTGAAATCCTCTCATAGTTACTTCCTTACGCTTCCTACATTACGAGACTGAGAGCAAACATAGAGTTTTGTCGAAGTTTCATGGCAATAACTTCGTCCCGTAGATAAATACCCAAGCTTTCCAATAGACAATACTTGGCAGCTTCTCAATTTCTAGACATTTTCCCTACATCTTCTAAGTGCATTACATGACGGCCCATTCGCCACAGCAAAACGTTGTGTCAACGTTGAATTGACAACGTCTGGGCATTACAATACCACCTCCCTTATGCAGTGCTTGAAAGAGCGTCAATATCGATGAAGCGATGAGATTGAATGGAGATTCCATGATCCCACAGAGAGCTCCTATGTGGCATGATATAAGCAGTATTCTATCGAGTGCAATTATCCCTCAGAGGTATATTTCCTTTACTCGGTCAGAATTAGAACTAAGTAATTAAATGACTCAACTCCTTCTGTTCCGAAGATGAGTCAGACAATCCAGGGGGAAGGTTTTATGCTCGATTCTTATTGGAAGAGATCGAGTAAGTATACAAGCCATCTGGAGATTTGGGAAAATTCAAGATGTCTCCTCGACCAACTGGCCAGAAGTACAGTACTTTGAGTCTCCTTCTGCCAGGTGACCTCCTTAAACAGGTCTATCTACAAATTCCTAAGCCTTCCATTAAGTTGCACAAGGGGAAAAATTGGGTACTGTATACTTCAGGGCACCAGGGTAAGAATCGCTGGATTCGGCGTTTAGGCGCCATCTCGTTTCGATTCAAAGAACCTATTTTTGTTGATATAATGTGGATAATTCCACGGTAAAACAACAGTGAGACTTTTTGAAAAAACGAATTTGTGCTTAATAGCTTCTGAACGACTTCGCTAATCCACGAGTAGTCGCCATATACTGAAAATACGGTAAGTTACGAGCAGTCAGCATTTCATTGAAGTTGATTCTTCGTCGAATTCTCAATTTCAACCAAGTCTCAACGTTTTAACCTTTTCTCAATGTTGGCACAACGTTGTCCCGAATGAGAGTTTTACTCGAAACAGACGAACCCGAACGGTCTGACCTGCGGTTAACTTCCAGATGATATTGAGTACTGCCACATGGATCGGGAGTCGAAGGTCTTCTGGTTCATTCTCATTCCGTCCGACGATTTCACAAATCTTGAGGACTTCCTGGAGAATCGTGGCGTTCAACTTCGGCGCCTTCCCCAGCCCAGAATCCCTGAGGATCTTGACGGTGAATCGTCGGTTCTCGTGCCTCAGGCTTCCGCTCGAACCCACGAGCCCTGGGTCAGAATCCTTGATGAAACGTAGCCCTTCGTTTTCATTATGATAAATGTGCTAAATTCGCGATCCGGTGCGATTTCGCACTAATTTCAAAAATATTCTTGAGAAGTGAGCCATACACACCGCGATCTATCACGGCAAAAACTGTAATGCTTTCTTAAGGCAAGCTCATGTAGTGTAACAATTGTATTCCAGCAATATGCAAATTTGCAAAATTATCATGCCCTTTCAGAGAATGTACTGTTGTGTTGGGACAAACACGATACCAATTTGTTTTCAACAGCGCCCCCCCTCCCAAGTTATCAGTCGAGTTTCCTCATTTTAGAAAAGAAATCAGAGACACGGCATTGACGTTGTCGAAACGGCCTGTGCGCCCCTCTCAACTCAAGAGAAGAGCAGAGGGCGTCTGTCCTCTGAAGGAAAAATTCATAGAAAGTTTAAATTCGTATACCATATAAAGTATGAATCGAACCGAAGCGATAGAAAGTGGAAAAGGAGTCTGGCCGTTGTTGCTGCTGGCGAAATGCCTGAACACGACGAGGTCGCATCTGTCGTTGAACTGAGAACCTGCCGAACTCATCCCAAATGAGACTCCCTTCTCTGAGGACCACCACGTCCTTCCCGGCCGGATTCATGTAGAACACGTCGCCGTATCTCTCCTTCAGGCGGTGGAATTTCTCGTAGAGGCAACCGCCGAAGGGAAAAGGTGCGCAGCCGAGGAAATGCACACCCCAAGGTCCTGCCAACCAAGAGGCGATTCATTCAAGACGAAAAGATACGGACTCGATTGCAGGAGGGCACGTAATGCAGCATGAATTTCTTCATTTTTTATGCCTCGTTGAAAATGAATTGTGCATTCCTTAAGTGAGGTTCTTATCAAGCTCCTAGTTATAATTATTTTTTTTAGTAGTCGTGATAATGTAGGTCTCGTTATTTCATGCCTTTAATGCTCACAACTTCAATTTATTCACGGTCAATTAAAATTTTCCCCTGGCTTCAGTGGGTTTTTTGAACTCATAAACGAGGACGGTTTTTTTTCAATTCCTCCGAATCGAAGCTGTCTTCTCAGAAAGGTGCGGGTCTTTTCACGAGTCTCAATTATTTCGTGTTCCTGGACATCTGCATACTTTTCCATGCATCTTCACGCAGATTGTCAAAGGCCGTGTCTCTGATGAAAATGAACGCGTCGTCAAATTCTACTTTTTGTGCAGGCGAGCGGGAAAAATCCAGAAGAAAGCGTTCTCAGTTTCATGCAATCTGGCACACCCTCTATTTTTAGAATAGACATTAGCATAGCCAATTTAGCTGAGACATTATAACAGACAGAGTCTTTTACCAAGAGCAGTCTTAGCCAGATTCCCGCTGCCAAAATGTGATGTACAGTTCACGATGGATCACTTCTGCATGAAAGAGATGCCGAGCCACAGCGTGCTACACCTACCGGTAGGCGCAAAATATTGCCAAAAATTAGTTCAACAAGTGTAAAGTATACAAGTATGGTAAGAACCATGAAAGATGAAGAAACACGACAGACGTGGGAACGAAACGTAAAGTTTTTTCACAATGAAGAAAAATAGTCCCGACGAATGGATTTGACGAACAGAGAAGTACTTCTTCATAGACGACATTGTCGGTACCAGCATGAATTGTTTCTCGCTTTGGTCCACTTTTAACCCGAATCTTCGGCGAATCCTCAGAGCGGACTCGCGAGCAGGCAACTTTCTACCATGAATACCGGCTCCGGAATTCGTAGTCCGACTCGATCTCGTGTCGGCCCCCGAAAATTGCTCATAGTCATACCGTAGGCAAGCTCGCTAGGGTAATCGACGTCGACAAAGATGGAAAGGTACGCTGACGTGTCCAGTTGAACTCTTGGCAGAAAACGAAAACCTTTTTGAAAAAATGGTTTTCGCAATACTTCACTTAACCTCTCGGCTAAGGGGAAAATAGATTTAATCTGAAAGGTTGATGCGGGGATGACCTGGGGATGATCCAGGATGTAGATCCGCTAGTGGGGATCGCTAATGTGCCACACACAGCTTGCCGTGCAGAAACAACGTCTCCGTCTCTGCTTGGGGGTCAGACGGTATTCACTCCCTTCGCACATTTCGAACCATTAAAAATGGATCAGACGATATTCGAACCCTGCGGTAAGAATTCTGGGAATATTTTCCCACGGCTTCGAATGATGTAAAATCCCTCGAGCACTCGGTCGTGAGCATGCAGAACCGAATACCAAGATGGAATCCGACCCCTCGTTTCCATCCGTGAGTCAGGCCAATCGACACGCACCGGTCGCGTCCGCTCGTGCCAGTCGTTTGTCTCAGGGACTCGAGGTGACTCATTCCTCATCAGGAGCCGATCGTAAGATGCGAGTCATCTGTCTCGTGTTCTACAGCACGCATTTTCAAGGCTCTTTTTTTTTTTACTCTTCGTGATCTTGCTCATTTTATGGTTCAGCCGATTGCCAGTCGCCCTTACCTCTTTGTATCTTAGTTTCTCGATTTCGTTAGAGTTAAACCGATGGCGTAGCCGGAAGGGCCAGATATAAACAGATCAGACTAAGCCGAGCCGATGCAGTGACGTCTATCATCTCCTCGAGGGAAACGTCGGAGTGAAGCGGGAGGAAAAAGTCAAAAAATGATCCGGCCCTGAGGCGTTCGGGGGGGTGGAGGTATGTGAAATTCACACATGTGAAAATATATGTCATTCGACACATTTTCTTGTGGATTTCGCATCTTCATCATCATCATCGTTTTACTTAGCAGAATTCTGGGGTACAGTGTCCAGCAGTCAACATTGGAAGAGGAAATACTATAAGCAGGTCTCGATAAATAAATAAAAGGAGGGAGGAAAAATTATTACATTTTTACATGGTAAGAAAAGTGTCCGGGGTCCACTTTTCACCCGAGTTCACATTAAATTACAGCTCGCACAAATTACATCAGCAAGGGCTGCATCTCAAATTCGTATTTGGTATCATTGGAAAAGCCATGACGCACAGGAGGCGAAGATGAAGTTTAGGCAATTTGGGAAACCATGGAGGAACGTGTCGCCATCGTTTATTTATTTTCTATCTGTGGAGGAAATCTTTTCGAAGTGAAGCGTCGTTTTGCCATGAAGACAGGTGAATTGGCCGGGTCGGGCCTATTAAGTGGTCTCCCAGGTCGTCGAACCTGACTCCGCTCGACTTCTGACTGACCTACCCGATGACTACCCGACCCGATGGGCCCGATTCATGTCATGGTCTGTACCCAATCGGAAACCCGAATTCTCCCTGGGATGAAACGTGGGACATGAAACGTTGGACTAGAGAGCGGCATTGGTTACTCAATTGTGGAAAGTCGTAACGTTGTGGGCTGCTCGTGCAAAAATAGCATATTAACAAATGTGTGGACGTTTGTTTGTGTCTTTACATGTATGTTTGGGGGACCATTTTTCAGTGTTCAATGAAAACTTCAAATAAATATGCGAACTGGAGCATGAGAGAATACCTACTATAGGGTATTTGTAGGTTGCATTAAGTTGGAGACATCTGGCGGCAGGAAGCATAAAAATGAGCTGGGGGGAATCGAGCAAGCAAGCGGCAATGTGTTTCTTATGGAAACATACAGATGGAAACTGTTTTTACTACGAAAATGCTCCATATTTTTTGCCAGATGGATTTCTTAAGGCCACGAATGATTATACAGTATAGAAAGTAATTGATGGGCTGAAGTTTCTATTTGGAGCATCCAGAAAGCCTGAAAGGCCTGTTATAATGTTTCTTTCAGTCTTGGCCTTCGCTTTCCATGGGCCCATGAAAATCAAATTTGGCATTTGCTGTCGCAGGATAAATAGTCATAGCTCCGGGGTGCAAGTGAACCTTTTATGTTCCCGGCGGGCCGCATGTATTTATTTGTGTATTTTTTAATACTGAATTTTAGGCTGTATACCGAAATACTCCTAAGCCTGGCTTAGTAAACTATGTACTAAAGTAGTAGATGCTAACAATATGATACGTGTGGAAAATTTCTCGCCTTTAATTGAGCAGAATACCAAGCAAGCTGCTTGCTGAGAGAGCAGTGATAGACTGACCAAGAAAAGAGTGAGGGGATATTTGCAGTTGTGGCGGAAATATAGTTATGTTTTACTTCTTGCTTCCGTTTCTCCTGCAGTGGGTAACGGAATCCTTGAGTGCTCGTTCGCTCTACTCCGGATGGCAGATGACGGGGGGGGGGGAATTAAGCTGGCAAATCCCCGCGGGCCGCACATCAGGCCCTCGTGGGCCACGGGTTGCTCACCACTGCTCTAGACCGAATATGGACATATGAGAATTCCTTCTGGAAACGTTCCTTCGTAATGGCGCAGTAAATGTTAAAATAAGAATGAGCGTCTGCACGTTAAGAGGAGAGTCGAGTTGCACCAATTGATGGCTGGATGGTCGAATGGTCGCCTGCTTCGCGAATGTTTAATTTCCTCATGTCTTTGATAGCATGTAGTTCCCTCTTCTCCTTAAGGTTAAGGGTGACGAAATCTAAATTCACCCTGTGATTTGTATTTCTCGGCTGGGAACTGCTGATGTAGAAGGACGAGGATGACGGGTTATCGCGGAAGCGACTGACAAGCATTCAGATCATATCCTCATCCCAGTATGTGATCATGTGCGATGGAAAAGAAGTGGCTCTTATCATCGACAAAATTTCTCGACTTTCTTCCTGCTTCCTTTATCGTTCTTAACCCCGTCTACTGGACCACCTTTCTTAAATGAAGACTTACACAAAAGATTCCGAATAAACTGATATTTGGGGTTAGGATGACGCTTTCTCCAGGTCTGTCTGACGAACTGAAAAGGCCTTCTAAACCTGAGACAACTGCTATTTCAAGCTCAAAGTGCAGCCTGTACTTCAATAAACATGGCACACTTAGAGAAAATAATATTAAGGAAAACATTGAAGCAACTGACTTAATGTGTATTCCAGCCTCGGATGTACTGTAAATTATGTAGAGGGTGTTCAGCCCATATCCCAGTCATTCATTATGCTTTTGGATAATCACCCCTGAAGGGGGGGTGGGGGCGAGATTTCTCTCATATGTATCAAGGAGAACCCTTGACTTGCTTGCGAGGTGGCCAACCCATGCTTTGAGACTGGTAAGAAATTGACATGCCAGGCCCTACCTGATAGAGTCACATGCCTACATCATCTTTTGTGATATTGAATGTGTGAGATTTTCAGTCGGGACTGATCCAAGTCTCAGTTGTCCTTCTGACTTCCTCAATTTTTGACAAACCATTTCCATATATAAATGTCGAGCATTTGCCCTTATCCTAACCAATAGGAAACTTTGCAAGCGCCGATATCTTCCTAAAATAGAAAGCTGAGGTGCAAATACCGTGGAGTTAGGCTTTCTCATGAGGATTCAAAGCTTTCTTGGAATTCTATACTTTTATCGTTGTACAATTATATTCGCTATTATCTGAATTGGAAGAGAAGTGGTGAGAAAACCACGTTTTGGTCCGGATTTTTTTATGTTTGAGCCATTCATTTCTCCTGTTCAGGCAATATGGGAACTCATGAAATAAAGTATTTTCTGTCACGCATGCAAGAGGCCATAATTAAAACTTTGCCACTCTCATGTGCTAATCCATTCCCACCTAGTCCTTTTACAGACGGATGAACTAACCAACATATTGGGAGACGAACTTTTTCAGATTTTGCTGTGCATTTGAATTTGACACCCCTGCGGGCTAAAAACTGAAACAACAGGCATTGGCTTGGCACTGCTGAGAGCAATCATCTCATTTTTGTCAGACAATTGAAGGCTGGATTAGTTGCACCGTCACCACGACATACACCACATCAACGAAAATTAAAACAACAGATCACCGGATATGCTGATAGACAGCAGATTCTGGATTTCACAATCTCCTGGAGTTTGATGAAGGGAAGTGGCAAAAAATGAATCCAATACTGTCCCTACAACGTCGGGAGGGTGAACAAGGCCGCATTGGGAGATAGGGGAAGAGAGAGAGAGGCATACATATATATGTACATCAATACAGAAATGATTTTTTTAGGGAGGGCATTATGCATGCACCTGACTGTCATGGAGTCTCTCCCTGAGGAGGACTTTGTAAGGTTTTGGAGAGTTAATGATGAAACTCCCATTGGCCTCTCTAGGAGGGATCGGATGTCCTCGGGGAACGCAGAAAGTGAATTTCTGCATAAAGATTGCCATGAAGAGAAACAATTCCATCCTGGCTAGAGATTCCCCGATGCATTGCCTCCTTCCTGTACGAAAATAGTACTTCCGTATTCCCCTCGATTCTGATTACCAGTTGTGAAATGAAAAAAGGAGGATACGTGAAAGCCTTTGATCTTACCGAGCCCAAAAGGAAGAAAATTGGATATATTGTTCTTTAGTTTCCCATCTTCATTCAAAAATCTCTCTGGACTGAACTCCTCCGGGTCTGACCAGAATCTTCTGTCAAAGTGGCACGACCAGATGTTCCCCAGAATCATCGTGCCCTTTTAAGAAAGAGTACAACACTGTGGCATCAGGTCATAATCTAGCAGAGCACTGCCAGGCAGAAAAGGAAATTGTGAGACAGTCGGATACATAAAAAATGGCACAGTTCAGTGTAAGTCGGAGATACAGGGCTGAAGCGTCAATAGTAGCCAGCACACTTAACTCTTACTTGGCTTGGGTTCGTTTCATCGACAGAACCCTCCGGAGTAAAAGACTTCGTCAATGGCCTTGCCTCACTACTTGACATCGTAAGAAACAGTCGAACTCTACGCTCCATGAAAAAGAAGCACCTTATTGAATAAACGTTGCTTTTCAACATCCAAGAAATGCACGCCATCCCTAAAAAAAAGAAACATCTTTCTGTCGTCTGCAAATCCCTGAGGCCGCGAAATTTTGTATCACCCCTCATACCCATATCGTTTTCGAGAAAAGTGGACTCTCGCCTCAAAGAAGAACTAAACCTTTGGAGTGTCGATCGCGAAAGTAGTTTGGAGTACTATTGCTCACCTTGGGAATGAAATAACCATTAATCTTGGTGTCAGTGCTGGCAATGTGAGGTGTTCCCAGGGGGATCATGCTCCCATGTCGCAAACCTTCTATTATGAATGCTTCCGTATACGGCATGCTGAAATGAGAAGAAACATCTCAACTCATTTTCTTTTACTGGATATTCATTTACTGTGGGTGAAGTGACCCTGTAAAAGCATCGGTAAGGTCTCCTTCCCCCATCGTGGCGGAGCTGATGGAGGTTTCACGGGCTTCGAGGTTCATGGATACCATTCCGTTATCTTCCGTGCATATTTGCTGAAAATTTACGCTTATCCCTTGCAGCATTCTCTACTTACTTTCGACGAGTCACTTGCTAAACAATACTTATAATTCAGCAAGGATGGAGCAAGAATTATTAGTGCATTTGCCCCTATTTATCCTATAGCTAATTGCATCACATCATCTTCGTTTCTACAACTTTACAATAACTTTTTAAGAAATTGTCAGATGCAGCTGATGTACATGTGATGTAGAGAGATGTTCAAGGGTTCATGACTTATTCGTTCCCTTACCCTACACATGGTTCTACATGTTGATAGGTGGCGCTGTGGTAGCATAAGCAAAGGTAAGAGAGGGAGATTAGGAATTGGCTACAAAAACAGGAAAACGTCTTGCATTCACATCACTCTCACCAAGAGATGGTGAAACTCTCATTGCAGAACGTCTCACGTTGATGTACTGTTATGCCGTATTACCAACATAGAAACTCTGTAAGTAGAGCCATCGTGCTCCTTCACATGTCGCCTTCGCATATACAATCACTGCACCCTCTGTTAATGTGTTCAAGTATGAATTGGGCAAGGGAACGAATAGGTCATAGGTACAAGAATATCTCTGTCAAAATCATCGGCATCAATTTCTTTAAAATATATGACCAAACGAAGTTAAATTTTTACGTTAACATCCTACTTTGTTTGATCATATCGTTTGAAAGAATTCTCGGATGCAGCTGATATTTGGCAGAGAGATTCATAGACTTGAATCGATTTTTCCCGTGCCTAAAAAATGACATAGCAAGTGGATAGGTAGCGCTGCTGTCGACATCAGCGCCCTCTATAGGCATGCAGTGACATCTTGCAGCAAGGGAAAAAACCTCCTAGGCTCATGAACCTCTCTGTCAAGTATCACCTGAACATGACTTTCCCTTGAAAAGTTATAGTCAATTAAAATAGGGCGGTGACTATAATAATCCTGTCTCGCTGAAATTTAAGATAGCCATATATGAGCCATAGGGTGGATTTTTGAACAGAGCATTATCCAATAATGCAACTTTATCTTCAGGGAAAATGTTCCATTATCAAAGAAGCGATTTTTGAACCGCGCATTTTCCATAATGCTGGATTATATTTAGGCATCGGTTCGTGATTATTATAAAGTAGGTCCAGAGGTCCTCTTTCGTCGATAATGCTGGATTATTTTCGGCAGTCGCAATGAACGGGTTGCACGGCTTGCATCGCCTTCATTGGTATCGCCTCGTGGTAAACCGACATTTTGCTTTGTACAGACGAGTCATTGCAGATAGATCCAATCCCATCGAGATCTTCAATGACATAGAACTGAAAAATGTATACTTTCTGCAGTATCAGCAAAACAATAATAACTTCTAGTCAGCAAAAAAACTCAGTCCTTAACAAGTAACAGCCAGCACCTTTTTTTTTTACAACTGCTGCAATGAGCTTTCCTGAAAATGTATTGGAATAAAGCCTCTGTCTTCAATGGCATTGGTTGTGTATAGGCCTGAGGGCTGTTGTTCGATTTGAAAGGAAGTACATTTTGGAGTGGGTGCTCTTGGATTTCTTTCAAGATCTCTTTCGAGCTTTGCCTTCTTCAAGAGCAGCACATCCCTCTTCATTGTCAAAATCTCTTGTTAAAGCATGTTAAAGTCTCCGAAGAGGTATTGAAAGCCTCTGTCTTCAATGGCATCGGTTGTGTACAGGCCTGAGGGCTGTTGTTCGATTTGAAAGGAAGTACATTTTGGAGTGGGTGCTCTTGGATTTCTTTCAAGATCTCTTTCGAGCTTTGCCTTCTGCAAGAGCAGCACATCCCTCTTCAATGTCAAAATCTCCATAAGCAGCTGGTGCTTTTCTTTCTCGTGGGCAAATAGTACCTCTTCAGCTGCTGTGACCCTTTCGGTCTTTCGTTTCTTCTCCTTTCGTCCTTGAGACGCCTGGCGATTTCCCTTCAATACTTTTTCAATAATTTGGGCTATTCTTGTCCTTGCTTCATTGGGTGTTGATGGCTCATCGCGATTATCGTGGTCAGTCATTGATCCTTCCAAAGACTCTTCTACCATTTGTGCTGTGATCACCTGGTTCTCTGCAACTCCCACATTCAGTCCATCATCGTCGAACGGATTGCTCAATTGCATGGCTATGTTTCCTCCCAGCGCATCAAGCGTTTTCTCGGTTTCAGGAGAAAGGGGTGGAAGGGGTTATCCACCCTCAGTTTTCTTGAATGATCTGGTCTCATCAGCTGCACCTTTCACGTGGAGTTTATGGCGCACCCAGAACTGTTTTTCCCTCGCACTGGGGGTAGGTTTCCCTAAGCGCTGAGGCAATCCCTTCGTATACCTGCAGCCGTATAAGAGGCCAAATTGGTAATGGACACCGTTTCATTTGCCCAGTGAACCAATGCCAGATGGTAATGCAACAGTATTTACTGTGCAACACTGATAATAGACCTAGACCTACCTTTTTCTTCTGCAGATTTGTAACGGAGTCTGTTTTCTTGCAGTCCACTATATGACATGCCTTCCTGAGTTCAGTCAACAAGAATTTCTTCATTTCACCGGTGACGTTTGTTGAGCGTTTTTGGCCTTTGTGTCCCACCATGTTATACTGATCACTCTACTGAATTGACTCAGGATAACTTAAATGCTTATACAGGAGCACTTTAGCACGACTGAGATCCCAAGAAGAGATGGTGCCATGGTTTCTGCAGTTCTAATGCTTCTTTTTCCCAATCTCAAGGGATTGTGGGGACCATTTATAATACTGCTTAATTCTTGCTATGCGCGCTGCCAACTTCAAAAACTCCCTCCACTTCGCTTTCTCGCGAATGAGATGCGACGTTGCCGTCACCAATCGTAGTTGAAAATAATCAAGGATTATTATAATAGAGCATTATAAAATTCAGCTTTATCTGTCGAGTTCAAAAATCGGAAAAATAATACTCCATTTTATAAAGCTGTTTTATCCAATAAAGCAGGATTATTTTAGAGCTCGGTTCAAAAATCCACCCTAAGGTTTGAAGCTCAGGGTTAGGGGTCACATCGATCTAGCCTCACAATTACACTTTCGTTCATTAGTAAGGCATTATAAGCATTTTTGCTTAGATTTGGACATTTGGGACATTTGGGTCTTCAAGTCAATCGATTAATTAGCCTTGGAAAAAAAAATATATATATATAATAAGATGGACATTCATTGACAGAAGGGCTAGCCCTTGATCAGCCACAGCCCAGCACTCACGCGAGTACCCCGACAGTAATCTCGAAACTATTGTGAAAGGCCAGGTAGAAAAAGGGGGGTCCAGGCGGAAGGAGGCTGTAAAGGAAAAGAAAGCAAAGCTCTAGGCTAGATTTTTTACGCCTTTCGACCGACTTCGTCAGGGGGTGCACGGCCGGCCTAGAGCATCAACAGCTGTTACAACCTGTTTCTGAGGTCAACCTAGCGTGCCAGGAGTATTAGATAGAACTTGGAAGTGGAAGATGGAAGATAGTCCTTGGAACCCATTCCAAGGACAAACCCAGCTGAAGTCTCTGCACACGCCATCGTCTGTTAATGATTGGCTCAAAATGTCTCGCGACAAAGCTACTGGAACTAAGCTGCCAAGCAGCCCACAGACGACGTTCAGCATATACTGAGATGACGATGCCCAAATCGGTACAAGGTTCACCCTTGTACCGTACATGACATTTTTGAACAATTCCTCTTCTGCAATTCACTGTCAATCACAATAACAGGCGAGGACATCTTCAGCCTGGTTGACATTTTTTTTTAAATCATACCCTCGAGTGGACAAATTGCTTGGCTGTCTGCACAAATGGAGCCCCAGCCATGATGGGAAGCAGACTGGGATTTTGTGTTCGAGTTAAAGTCAATCCCAGTGTCATTGCTTTCTGCATCGAGAAAATCTAGCAACCCAAGAAATGCAGCCAGATGAATGTAGATTCAGTTCTCCAGGATGTCATTGCAATCGTCACAGATATGTAGATATGCAGGGTCGCAACCAAACCACAATCGATATTGGTGAAAAAATGTCATCCTTCAAGAAAAACTTCTGGGAAAAAATTCTGGGAAAAAAAGTTTCCCCGATTTGTTTAGAAAACTTCAAGTTTTTCTTGCAGATGTCAGATCTGTTCTTCTGAGCTGGAGTCAGCATTCTTGGGACCCATCGAGAACCGACTTTGGACATGTGTAATTTTTCATGAATAATGTGAATCACTGTGCCCTCTGAAATCCCCAGTTCATGAGCTAAAACAGAGACTTTGGTGCGACGATCCTCCGGTATCGCACTCTCCAATTTGTCACACATTTCCTCATCAGAAGCCTCCACAGGGCGCCCCGACCTTGGGTCATCTTCAATTGACTCCCTTCCCCACTTAAGCTGCTTGCTCCAAAATTTAACTTGGTAATAAGAAGGCAAAGACACACCATAAACGTTAGACATACGTTCATGAATCTCCTTAGGTGCTTTCCCTTCTTTGGTGAGGAATTTGATCACTAAACGATGTTCAACTTTCGTCAAATCCATGACACAGACTCAGGAAAAGAAATCTAATGTGCTACCACTTTGAACGGACTTGAGCCACTGAGCTGGTATAGTGGTGGGGCACTCACGAGACCTGTCGAGACATGTCACAGCAGGCACAGGCCTGTTGCTCATCCCTTTCTTTTTCAGGTAGATAACTTATTGAGCGGCCCTCGTATTCTCGGGAATACGAGGGCCGGGGATCTCGGGATCTCTATTCTCGGGAATCGCCAGAACCTCTCGACAATGCTTGATTATCGCATCCTAGCAAGACCAAAGGAATTTCCCTTCATCCGTTTAACCCATTAAGTGACTCATGGATTGTAGTAGCCGTGTCCAACTCTCCATACTACGAAATTCCTTGAAAGCTTGCAAATTAGGGTTGGAGTCAGCATTCTAGCAAGAAAACAACCATTTCCTTGCCATCTGATCGATTTCAAAAATTCTAAATGCTTGGTCATCAATCTCGG